CTGCGTCCTTCCTAAGAAATCTTTGCCTATCCAAGGTCACAGAGATAGTCAGTCCCTTATGTTTTCTTCCGAAAGCCTTACAAGTTCTGGATTTCATACTGAGGTCTGTGCTCCAGCTCGAATTATTTTCTGTGTGCGGCGCGAAGTAGGGGCTGAGAGTCTTTTTTCTTACGTGGATAACCAGCTCTTGTGGTTGCAAAGACTTTCCTCCGTCCGTGGAGTTGCTGGGCACCCTCGTTATCTCTAACCACTAGGAAGGTATGGATGGCTTCAAATAATTCACTCTCGAGAGGTTAGAAGACGTTAAAAGTAGACTTTGGAAGTTTCCTCTATGAAGTGTCAAGCTCACACGCTTGCATTCCGAATCTCTTCTTGACCCGGGGACGCGGCGCTGCTGCCTCGTGGGCAGCCCTGGGCGCAGGGTGCCCGCAGCAGAACTGCCGACGGCTCAGGGTGTGTGGCGGGCAACGAGGCCTGCGAAGCGCTGCTGTGGCCTGTGCCATCATCTCCTTTCTCAATTGATCCTTCGTGCCACCAGGCTCGAGCGTCTTCCTGGATTACCACTGTTCACTCACGTGGCCGGCTTCCCGTCCATTGTTTGATTTGTGAGAACGCCAAGCCCTCCGTTAGGCTCCTCTGCACGACGGGCAACACGTGCACATGTGCATGCACACCGGCCTGGGGTTCGGAGACCCAGGAGACCCAGGAGGCTGGGGTTCGGAGACCCAGGAGGCTGCAGAGGGCACTCCCCGTTTCGCAGCTGTGGCTGCATCCCTCCACGCATGGCAGACATGTGGCACGGGGTGGGGTGGGGCTTTAGTCTCCCGGAGATGGGGCCCTAAGTTCCAGCTCTGTTACAGGTACTGGAGAAGCCTGGCCCTGGCCTCGGCCTTGGCCTCGATGTTTCCAGCTCCGAGCAGGCGGCCTGTGACTGCTGGAGCCGCCGCCGGGCTACGGGGAAATACGTCGGGGCCTCACACCCGCTTCCCTTGCTGCTCGCGAGCTGCCCCTCACACCCGGTCCGCAGGGGAAGGGCAGGGGTGGTCACCTCCGTCTCAGCGCGGAGGAGCAGGCCCGGCGAGGGACGCCCCCGGAGAGCCATCTGCGGCTGAGCTGGACCCCGGCCCCGAGCGAGGCCCAGTGCCCGCGTCCTCCCGGGAGCAGGTGGTCTCATCAACACCGCAGGGGATCTGCCTCGAACCTCCACCTCTGGGTGGGCACTGGCTTTTTGGGCGCCGCTGATTGCCTTTAAAGCAATAAAGTGGGTTCAGGAATGGAAGCATCCAGAAGTCTCCGAGCCAGCGCAACCCTGACGTCAGAAATAGCTGCATTTCCTCCTGCCCTGGCGCTGCGACAGCCCAAGGAGCACAGATCGCCCTTGCGGGGTCCTGGTTTGTTCAGTTTTGGGTTCTCCTCTGTCGCCCAGGAGCTGACCTCACCAGCTCTGCCAGCGACCTTGACTGTGACTTGCTCTCTGGGGGCAGCTACGGCTACAAATGTAAACCTACTGAAGGCTTTGAGCGTCCGGGGATGTAAAGGAGCTTCTAGGAGATTTGACGTCGAACCCATAGCTGGTCCCCAGGACCCAGCACCTCACCGAGAGGTCCCGTGGCTTGTCTGTGGCTGCTGTTGCCGTCCTGAAGCTTGAAGCTTGAAGTCCCTGTGGGCAACGTCTCCGCAACACCGGCCCATTGTGTCTGCCACGGTCCAGAATGAATTGCCAGCCCCGAGGACCGTTGTCCCAGAGCCTGGGCAGGCGCACAGGGGACAGTGGGAGGACTTACGGGCACAGGCCTGGAAGTGAGGAGGGCCTCCTCCAGTGCTGCTGGCTTTGAACACTTCCCTGCACATAATTAATCTCACCCTTGGAGATGAGATGATAGAGGGATGAGCCCAGGGGCTTGCGAGGATGGAAGGGGAGGATGCGTATAAACTCCACGAGGGCTGGACTTGGTTTCCTCTTCCGTGGCTCCATGTGCTGCATAGGACAGTGGCTCCCACTCGAAGTGACTGGACGAAGGTGGAGCATTGCGCCTGAAGACCACGATGTCCGCATCAACCCCACTGTCACTGTTACGTGTCCTCCCCCTACCAGGAAGATATTTATGTGACCCGCAGACGGGGAGAGGCCGACGGCCCTGGCTACTAGCCCATCGGTGCCGTCTGAGTGGTGGTGGTCAGCGTGAAGACTGCTGGACGGACCCCTGGCAGGACAGTGGAGGACGCGATGTGCCCACTGGGGGGTCTCGGGAAGCAGAGTCAGCATGTGGGCATTTGGCGGCTGCCATGTATTCTTTGAGTTCATGCATTTCCTTTATATGTGAAAATAAATTAAAAAAGTAAAAGAACCCCCAGGGGTGAAGGGTTTCCCTTTCCATTTTTTTCTCTGCCAGACCCCAGCCGATGGCTGGTTCCAGGAACCACAAGCTATGAGGTCCAGGCCAGGGGAGTCTGCTCAGCAGGAAGAGGGAAGAGCAGAGAGAGGACAAAGGGGCGAATGGCAGTGGAGCCCACAAGGCTCCACCCCTGAGGCTGCAGCTGGTCACGGAATTTATCACCATGACCTTCAGATGTGGCCAGAGCCTGCTGACCCCCGTCCGGCTGGCATCTCGAGAGTCCTGTTCATGCATAGAGGCGATGATGCCTGTGCTGCAAGGGTGCTTGGTCCTCAGCTCCAGACACGGCTGCAGCCTGAGCCTGAGCCTGAGCCTTCCTGGCCCGTAGGAGTGACAAGGATGGCAGTGGGCCTCACGCCCAAGGACATGCTCAAGGTGTCTGATTCAGTGTGGCGTTGTGGAAAATGGTTCTGGAAAGCCCGGTTCCAGGACTAGCTCTACAGGGATGAGCCGTGACCTCAGGTGAGTCATCTTGCCCCTCTGGACTCCAGTGTCCTCATGTATAGACGCTCATCTAGGGGGAGGTACACTGCCCTCCAGCATCCGGTTTTTTCTTTTTCAGATTTATTTATTTGAGAGAGGGGAGAGGAGAGAGAGAGAGAGAGAGAGTCTCAAGCAGATTCCCTGCTGAGCGTGAAGCCTGACGTGAGGCTTGATCCCACGGCTCTGAGGTCATGACCTGAGCTGAAATCAAGCCAGAGGACCAACCGACTGAGCCACCTGGGCTCCCCTCGCTGGGATCTGTTCCATGTCTCGTCTTTCACAGCTCTACCTTTTCCCACCTAGATGATGATCGAAGCAGGTATCGGTCACTGCCGGCTTGGGAGGCTCCGGGTTCTGTGCCAAGGATAGCGCACGACAGGTCTCATTTGGTCCCCACAAGCGACCTCTGTGGCAGGTGCTATTATTACTCCTACTTTACAGAGGAGGGAACCGAGCATCCCGGAGGGTCACGCTGCCGGCACCGGTGTTAGCTACACGCGGAGTTGTCTGTTCCTGAGCTGCAAGGTGTGTTCGTCTTACGGATTCAGTCACTTTCCTCAGCACTTCCCTCTGGTTATGTATTCTGTGAGTGCCGCACCTCCAGCCAAGAGTGGGATGTGCCCTGGGCTCCAGCCGCGCAGGCTCGGTTTGGCGCGAGTTCCCACCCACTGGAGTGGGATGAGGGGGTCCGTGCGAGCCCACGCGCTGGCAGTTCTCCGAACGGAACAGAGGCCCGCAGAGCAGGAGGGAGGCACAGATCCCACAGCCAACCAATGTCTGATTGGATGGACGTTATTAATCTGGAGGCAGCAGGCTTGCGTGTCAAGTCCTGTGACTTCTTCGGGCCTCAGGGTCTCATTTGTGAAAATTAGATGACAGATGTACCTTTAAGGGGATTGAGAGGAATGCTCTGCCCTCAGTGAACCCTCCTGAACGTCCCTCGTAGAGGGTTTGGCAAGAGCACAGGATTTGACAAACACCTGCTCTGGCTGTGGGCCGTGGGGTGGCACTTTGATTTTCCGGGTGTCACCCGCCTAACTTGTTTTACTGGACAATATTAATAAATGCCTAACTGCTCCTGGGGATATAAAGGACTTCTGGAAATGCAAGGCTGGATCGGAGACGGTCTGCTAGCAGACGCTACCGAAGAAGACATTATTAATCATATTGTGTGTTCCCACTGAGCTCTATCCACTTGAGGAACTGCACCCGGGGGGCTCCTGCATGGGTGCAGGAGTTGGGGTGCTGCTTCCTCAAGCCCCTCCAAATCCAAAGGCAAAGCACACATGAACAGCAAGGTAACATGACATGAAAGCCCGTTCCTTCCCTTTGAGAGCAGCTGCCCACCCCCCACGCCACTAGCTGATAATGGCCACCCCTCATCAAATATTTATCCCAGCCCTTGCGGTCCTCCATCAGCCTGCAGCATCGTGCCAGGGATGGAATCTGATTATTAAAAATGGTCAGGAGTGAGGCAGGCAGACTACAAAGTGCCTGGGATGGAAAGGGGGTAACATCAAAGCCTCAGATTCTTCCTTAAAGGTCGCCTCCGGAAGCAGGGGCGCTCGGGTAGGCAGTAGGGCTCACCGGGGTGCGAGGACCTGGCCCCTGTGTGCCTCCCAGCCTCCGGGGCAGCTCCTGCTCCCTTCTTCCCTCACCAGCGGCCCGGAAGGGAGCTAAGCCCGAGCCCTGGGCCCAGAGGCCCGGCTCCAAACCACGGCTCCATGAGAAGCAGGCGATGTCCTGCCCCACTCCGACTCGTGCCTGCCCTCACTTTTGAGGGGGGGCCCTGGCATTTCATTAGTGCCCTGTTTGAAGCCTGCCCTTTGCAAAGCAGAAAATGAAGAGAAGAAAGCAAGCATGGAAGCAGATTCAAACAGTCTTCCGGTGTCTGGAGTTTCTGGTGCCCCTCTGTGTGGCTTCACTCATTACAAGGGTGCAAAGGCCTGTCAGGCAAGAAATCGTGCCTGCTGTTTACACTCTAATGGAGCCCAGGGACCAATTAACCACCCTGAGCGCCAATGGGCAGAGCATTTCTTAAAGGAATAGGAGGGAACTCTTAGATGATGGCTTCTTTTTTCCCCGTTTCCCCCACATAAAAGACAAATGTTATGTCAACAGTTTCTCCAGAGCAATCCTTTATTTCCTGAAAGTCCTAAAACTGACCCATTTATCAAAACGTTACGGATGCCGTGGTCCACGAGCAACATCCTGTTCTGTCTCCCAAGTCCTGGAGCCCCGGAGTCTGCGGGCCTGGTCCGGGCGGTGGCATCAGAAGCGGCCCTCCACGCCCAGCAGCTGCACCGCGGCCTCCTGCACAGCCTGGTGGATGTGCCTGACCTCCCTCTGGGACAGGGTCCGCTCCATGTGGCGGTAGGTGATGCGGTAGCAGTGGCTGGTCTTGTGTGTCCTGGAGAACGGAAGAGAAAGGCAGGTGAGTGAGGGGCGGGGGTGCTCGGCGCCTGCAGGAGCCAAGCCGGCGGCTCTGACCAGATTAACGCGGGTGGAGAACGGAGGGTGGGAGCCGAGGTCATGGGCACCCGTGGCCTGCGCCTCTTCTGGGCAATATGGGCATAGTGTTGGGGGAACAGTGGCTTGGACAGCCGAGGCTGCTCTTCCCATCGGCCCAGGTGCCTTCAAGTGCCCGGAGAGGGATGCTTCCCACCAGCTGAGGTGCTCGGGCCACGCCCTGGAGACTGTGGCTCAGCAGGTGGGAGGTGGGCGCTGGGCTCCCCAGGGGACTGATAGGAGGCAGGCATGGGCACCGAGGCCGGTGTGCCTCCACCGTTCTCACGTCACAGAAGACGATCATGGTTGGAAGGCACCCTGCAGTCACAAGGCCGCGGCTGGCCCAGGGGCTCTAGCCATCTGGAAGGCTGAGGGGTGTCCTACTCTTCACACCGCTGTAGGCCACGGAGAACACACGCTTCCACGGCCCCCGGGCAGTGGGGCCTTTTGCAGAACTCGGTCTTCACAGAGACACCCGACAAGCCACCTGGTGCAAGTGCCCTGTGTACGTGCCTCGGATGTGCCTCTGGGCTTCAGGTCCATTGGAAGGGCGAGGCCTGCCCTGCTGGGGTCTGCAGGGACCTGTCCACTGCACAGGCACAGCCCAACTGTCCCCAGGGCCTCCTGCGGCTGCTCGAAGATCTCACCCTGCCTCCCCCAAGAACATAAGACAGGACTTTTTTCCAACCTGACATCATCAAGAAAGGATGCTGCAACATCCTGAGGTTTTGAGAGATGGAAGGTTCTGGAAGAGGAAAAATTAGGTAAGCAGAGAGAGAGAGAGGGCATAGGAATTGCAGATGCCTGAAGAGGGTGCAGACATTTACTAGAACAAGGGTGGCCACATGACCTGGGAGCCCAGGTTGTCAGGGACCTGGCGACCGTGCAAGGCCATGATGGTTTCCTGGTGGGCAGGGGGGTGGGTGGGCACCACACCAAGCTGCACACAGGCAGGGACTGCCTCTGCCCCCCTAATTCCAGGTCCCAGCGAGGGGCGCAGAGGCCCCTGCTGAGGCAGCAGCAGCAGCCCAGGGTCCCAGCGCTGGCTCCTCCGTTTCTGGGCCACGACATAGTTTTCCCGGGTCTGTTCCTTTTCCATTGAAAGACGTAACAGCACGGCGCACCTCATTAACCTTTCTGAACTGTTGCAGAGACCTTCTAGAAAGAGACAGGGCTCTGCAAAGGACGAGGTGCTGCGTGAGGGTGGGGCCAAAGTGTCCTTGTGGCAACTGGGGTTCCCGGGGGCTCCGTCCGGCCCCGCTTACTGAGCTGGAGAGCTGGTCATGTGGCCACTCGACAACCGTGACCTGGGCTGAGATTTCCCACCGCGATGAACGGGAACAACTCACCATCTTGTTTCTGTGGGCTTCAGGGAAGGCCCCACTCAGGATCCCCGGGATTCAAACAGCTTTCATAAAACATCGTGATGAGTGAGGTGTAAATGAATCATAAACATATGGATTAATTTTATAAATTGAGAGAAATAAAATTGGCAGAATATTTGGTGATAATTCAGTAGATTCAACTGAAAAATCAACCAGCTTTGCCTTTTCCTGACATCACTGGTGAGAGAGAGAAAACCTACTTTTACTTGTTTTTAGGAACTTCTCTCTCTTTCTCTCTCTCTCTCTTTTTTTTAGGATGATTGTATTTATTTCTTTATTTGAGAGCGTGTGCAGGTGCCAGCCGGGGAGGAGCAGAGGGAGAGGGGCAAGTAGACTCGGTGCTGAGCGCAGAGCCGGACGTGGGGCTCGATCCCGGGATCCTGAGATGAAGATCTGAGTCGAAATCAAGGGTCAGATGCTTGACCGACTGAGCCACCTGGGCGGCCCGCTGTTTTCAAGGAACTTGTGTTTGGAGCTTTTAGTTGTTGGGGCTCCTGTCCCCCTTTTGCTTGGGAGCCGGGAGGAGTGGGGCTGGCAGGTGGTCATGAGTCTCCCCATCCTCGAGGAGCGGGCTGTCCACAGGAACCACGGAGTCACGGAGCTGAAGAGAAGGCTTCGGAGCTAGGTAGGTGGTGCGGCTGCCTAACTCTGAGAATGTGCTAAAGGCCAACGGACTATCCACTTTAAAGGTGGTCAGTGTTCACCTGGTTATAAACACGCACACAGAAACCAGGCAGTTTGGTGTGAGGGCCCAAGTGTTAAGTGCTCCCAAGTGCTCCAGCACATTCCTCCCCTCCTGTCCCATCTCCAGCCTTTTCCTTCTACCCCAACTCCCCCTAGGAAGTGACGGCTTGCAAGGGGCAGGTGGAGAAGCCTAGCTTCTTTAACCTTCAAGGAAGAGGTGGAGTAAGCCCACGTTCCTTTCCAGCCCTGCCCCTCAGGAGGGCGCAAGCCAGACGCAAGGTCTAACTGGGATGTGGGGTGGGAAGGCCTGGGACAGGGACGCTTTTTAATCAAGACCTTTCCGTGGGGCAGCCCCAGTGGCGCAGCGGTTTAGGGCTGCCTGCAGCCCAGGGCGTGATCCTGGAGACCCTGGATCGAGTCCCACGTCGGGCTCCCTGCATGGAGCCTGCTTCTCCCTCTGCCTGTATCTCTGCCTCTCATTCTCTCTCTTTCTATGAATAAATAAATAAAATCTTTAAAAAAAATAAAAAAAAAAAGACCCTTCCTGCTTAAGGGGCCTTTACGAAGGTGGGCTGCAAAGCCAGGCTGCTGTGAGAAGCCAAGAGAGCTGTGGGGGGAGCTGTGTGGTGCAGCCCCAGCTCCGGTCCCCCATGGCGGGCGGGCACGGTGAAGCCGCGTGGTCCTCGCCCGACCCAGGCCGGCACGACCTTCGGGACGTGAGAAGCCTTCCCGGGAAGAGAGAAGGGGCCATGCTGACCAGGGCGGTTCTCAGGTAAATAAAAGTTCTCTTTTATGCACTCGATGGCCTCTACTCATAGGCAACGTAAATACGCTTTACTGAGCTTGGGGCGGGGGGCAAATCTCATTACAGCGGGTTTGAAGACAGAGTCCAAACCTTCCTTTTGGTGTTTGGATTTCATTGCCCCGGGATATCGGCTAAGACGAGCAGGTCACTGGCTGGAGCTGGAATTTTTAACAGAGATTTTGGAGCGAGAATCCTAGAACGCTTGAGCTTCAGGAGCGCCCTGCTGTCCACCCCTAGGGGCCTTCGTCCGGCGGCAACAGCCTGTTCCAGGCACCGAGCAGGGGAGGGGAGCTCCGACCCAGCCAGCTGGCAGGGGCCCGGGCGCCCAGGGGAGGAGCTTGCCCCTCCTGCCCTGAAGTCCCACGGGCTGCCCCCCCACCCCCCAGCAAACACTGTTGCTTCCACAAATGACTCTTCTGTGCCGCTTCCCACCCCAGGGCTGGGCGTGCAGGCCGCAGACCCTAGACAACCGGCAGGTGCCCGAGGTGCCCGAGGCTGCCCGGGGCGAGGGGGGGGGAGCAGGGATACTCTGGGGCACCCCCCCCCAGCCTCCCTTAGGTTCTGCTCCGAGGGCTCCTGGGCGCAGGACGCTGCCAACGCGGCTCACGGTTCCCCACCGCCCGTGGGATCACGGGCCGGGTGCACCTGCAGCGGCGACAGGCTGCCTGAGGACAGGGCCGTGTGGGTCGCGCCCGTAGGGAGGCCTGCCCCAGCCCACCTCCCTTCCCGGCCAGAGCCCTGAGCTGGGCGGGGGGGCTGCTCCCCAGGAGCTGACAGGCTCCAGAGCAGAGGGCTGCGGGGGTGCGTGGCCGAGCCCAGCGCTCGCAGCACCCACGGGGCCGGCTTGGCCATCTGTGACCCGTGCGGCTGCTGTGCCACTCGGTCACCGGCGGTCACGCACGAGCCGCAGGCATGCTGGGGTCGCTCAGCGTCTGTCTGCCACACAGGTCAGGCTCCACGGGATCCTTCACTCCCGAGGACACGCGACTCCACGAGGCTCCCCTACGGCCAACACTCTGGGTGACGGCAGCGCCGCGGCAGGCGGGACACGGACCCCTCTGGTTCTTCTCACGGCGCGGGGTGTACGGGCTGTCACGGAGATGCGCCTTCACTCAGATCACTGTCCTTTTCTAGATTCCCGCCCCAGGTGCTGTCGTGGGGGTAGGTTCCATTTTCTGAGTGAAGGGAAAAGGGATTTCTCGATTCATCCTAACGTGTCTCGTGCTCGTGTGATGCAGCAGCTCAGTGGGAGGCCCCACAGGGCCGACATCCGTGCAGTTAGGGGGGTGCACGGTGCCTTCACGTGGGGAGGGGTCGACTCAGGGAAGGGAAGAGGATGATGGAAAAAGAAGGAAGGGGGACTAGTTGCTCAAGGCCACTCCTGAAAATACAGAATGAAATGGGGCCTGGTGGAGTGGACAGGAACCCAGAGTTTGCAACTAGAGAGGCCTGTTGCAGTCCCTACTCTGCCCTTTGCTCTCTGTGTGGCTTGGGCCAGTGCACCTAAGCCCTGGTGCAGTGAGGGCCACCACCTTGCTCCTGGGTCTGTGCCCTCAGAGTGGGGGCTATGTGCTAGGGCGGAGAGCTCAGCACCCAGGCTGTCCCATTTTCTCCCTCCATGCATGGGGCCATGGGGAGAGGAGTGGCACTCTGGGGAGGGGGACTTATAGTTCTTACGTGCTTCTCTGACCCTCCCCTCATGCGCCTGGAATTTGACCTGCAGGCAAGGGTAGGGGGTGGAGGTCGGGGAGAGTGATGCTTAGTGCTGAGTCAGGCATGGTTTACATAAGTGGTCTGCAGGGGGGCCTGGGTCAGGTGATTGGGTGTCCGGCTCTGATTTCCACTCAGGTCATGATGCCAGGGTCATGAGATCAAGTTCTGTGTTGGGCTCCACACCCAGTGGAGCTTAAGATTCTCTCTCCCTCTGCCCTCCCCTGCTCTCTCTCGTTCTCGCTTTTTTTAAAATTTTATTTATTCATGAGAGACACAGAGAAAGAGGTAGAGACACAGGCAGAGGGAGAAGCAGAC